ACTTTTAAAATATCTTAGTTAAAGAAATGAAAATATTAATTGTAATCCTTGCATTAAAACAGATATTTTTTATTGTAGTTTAAATATTAAAAAATTATGCAAAAACCAATACCAGTCGACTCCCCTATAACACTGTTGATTATTCCGTTTTATATGAATTCCATGTTGTACGAGTCACTTAGATTTTACAAATACGTGAGCCGTTCACAGCCCGGCACGCGTATTTGTAAAATCTAAGTGACTCGTACAACATGGAATTCATATAAAACGGAATAATTAACAGTGTTATAGGGGGCCGACTGTACAATATTTATAGGCCATTTTATGTAGGATGTTTAGAAAATCTTTCCACATTTATATGGTTAACACGTGTTAAAAACTCAATCGTTTCTGAGAGAAATAATAATCCGACAAAGACAGAACGTTTCAGAGAGTTTGCGATTCTGTAAGATGATGCCAAGCGTGCATGGAAATGGAAGGAAGACACGTGAACATCTGTGAATATGGGGGATAAACACGTGGCAACATTATCCTATCTTATATCTGATACTAACATACAAAATTTTGTTAATATCTCAGAAACGGTTGAGTTTTCGACTTATGTTTACTATTCATTAGGATGTGTGTTATTTACCATATAAATAATGTATATATTTTTTAACATTCTGTGTATAACGTCACGTTATATTATACTTATATTTTCAATCTAAAATAAAGTCTAATAATATGAAACGTGCATTATTTCGTGTCGAAAACGGAGTTGCTAGTTATCATGCATTATGCTTCAAAAAATCTAATGCTAGCAATTTATTTATGTTATATATTAATTTATTCTATGTCTGGACAGTTAATAATATTATTAAATTCATTTTTATTTGTTTATTAGTGTATATTATGTAACAGATAATAATAGAACGGTTATATGGAAATGGAAGGAAAACCATTTATTTAATCCCCTTTTCAATTAATCTTCTATATATTAATTGAAAAGGGGATTTCGGTTTATCCGACTTAATTTGAATAAACGGCTGGAACTAAAAATACGGTTTAGATATGAAATTAAAGCTCTTACACTGTACACAATGCCGCTAAAGAGAAATTTGAGAAAGATACAATGGCGAAGTGGCAAAAGTACAGTACAATGTTATTCTATAGGACAAACATGTCAGCATCTCACCTCCTTTAGGGTGATCATCCATGCAATTTAATTAAACAACATTGAGCTATAAAATAATATTTACTTCAAAATATAATAATGATAGTATTTTAAATCAAATTATATAATGAATTTTCAGCTTTTTTTTTATTACCTTCTCAACACTAAAAAAACCATTTATTTAATTACTAACGAACGTTATTGTATGGGCTAAGTGATCTCATTATATATATAAATTAACTTATATGATATTTCTAGGTGTGACAAAGGCACGTTTTCTTCTTCTTCTTGACCGTATTGTAAAGTTATGTATTATTATATGACCGTTTATACGGCATCAGAAATGCTTGCCAAACAAGTTGTGTGATAGGCTTTTAGGATAGAAAAGCACGTAACACGCACGTCAATACAATTAAATGCGTCAAATGCGTTGACAGTATGAATTAACCTTTAGACACGATTTCTTTGAAAAGATCTTTGAATTATATAATTTTATTTTGATATTTTTTGGAAAATATTCGAAAGTTTCCGTATTATATTATCATTTATATTCTATCCATATATTTGCCCACATCATTACCCATTAAATAGCAGTTGTATTCATAGAGGATACTTTAGAAGAGTGTGCAATTCGAAGTGTTAAATTATCTAAATTTACCTTTCTTTTTTTTTTATTTATTCACGAGGTCAACGAAACTTTAATGTTTTGTTAAGTACCTGGAGATATTTTTAATGCAATGAAAAACCGTCGTGTGTTTTTTCCTATAAAAACATCAAATTCCATTAAATTTTTTAAAAAAATTAACCTGGCATTAACAAAAATTTCTTCTTTTTTTTTTCTACATTCAACTGGAACTAAATACATTCTTTTTTTTTTCTTTTTATTTTTAAAATCGCACTTATGGTCTTATCTTAGAAGTTATGAATTGTATCAATAATTTTCCTAATAATTCTTTATGGATCCTACGAATATCAAATTTCTAGGTTACTGTACTAATTGTAATGAAATTACTAATTGTAATGAAACTGAATGTTTTATTAATACTATTATCATTGAGAATTTCTTAATTATATTTAATACAGCTCTATTAAAACTTTCATTATTAAGTATAAAAATATTCACTGCAGTGATAAGTACAGTACTGTATAATGCTAAAATCAGATTGGAAAATGAGCTTTTCACTTCTTAAATTTGGATATTGAAACTTTTGTAACTTTTAAAATATCTTAGTTAAAGAAATGAAAATATTAATTGTAATCCTTGCATTAAAACAGATATTTTTTATTGTAGTTTAAATATTAAAAAATTATGCAAAAACCAATACCAGTCGACTCCCCTATAACACTGTTGATTATTCCGTTTTATATGAATTCCATGTTGTACGAGTCACTTAGATTTTACAAATACGTGAGCCGTTCACAGCCCGGCACGCGTATTTGTAAAATCTAAGTGACTCGTACAACATGGAATTCATATAAAACGGAATAATTAACAGTGTTATAGGGGGCCGACTGTACAATATTTATAGGCCATTTTATGTAGGATGTTTAGAAAATCTTTCCACATTTATATGGTTAACACGTGTTAAAAACTCAATCGTTTCTGAGAGAAATAATAATCCGACAAAGACAGAACGTTTCAGAGAGTTTGCGATTCTGTAAGATGATGCCAAGCGTGCATGGAAATGGAAGGAAGACACGTGAACATCTGTGAATATGGGGGATAAACACGTGGCAACATTATCCTATCTTATATCTGATACTAACATACAAAATTTTGTTAATATCTCAGAAACGGTTGAGTTTTCGACTTATGTTTACTATTCATTAGGATGTGTGTTATTTACCATATAAATAATGTATATATTTTTTAACATTCTGTGTATAACGTCACGTTATATTATACTTATATTTTCAATCTAAAATAAAGTCTAATAATATGAAACGTGCATTATTTCGTGTCGAAAACGGAGTTGCTAGTTATCATGCATTATGCTTCAAAAAATCTAATGCTAGCAATTTATTTATGTTATATATTAATTTATTCTATGTCTGGACAGTTAATAATATTATTAAATTCATTTTTATTTGTTTATTAGTGTATATTATGTAACAGATAATAATAGAACGGTTAATCTTCTATATATTAATTGAAAAGGGGATTTCGGTTTATCCGACTTAATTTGAATAAACGGCTGGAACTAAAAATACGGTTTAGATATGAAATTAAAGCTCTTACACTGTACACAATGCCGCTAAAGAGAAATTTGAGAAAGATACAATGGCGAAGTGGCAAAAGTACAGTACAATGTTATTCTATAGGACAAACATGTCAGCATCTCACCTCCTTTAGGATGATCATCCATGCAATTTAATTAAACAACATTGAGCTATAAAATAATATTTACTTCAAAATATAATAATGATAGTATTTTAAATTAAATTATATAATGAATTTTCAGCTTTTTTTTATTATTTTCTCAACACTAAAAAAACCATTTATTTAATTACTAACGAACGTTATTGTATGGGCTAAGTGATCTCATTATATATATAAATTAACTTATATGATATTTCTAGGTGTGACAAAGGCACGTTTTCTTCTTCTTCTTGACCGTATTGTAAAGTTATGTATTATTATATGACCGTTTATACGGCATCAGAAATGCTTGCCAAACAAGTTGTGTGATAGGCTTTTAGGATAGAAAAGCACGTAACACGCACGTCAATACAATTAAATGCGTCAAATGCGTTGACAGTATGAATTAACCTTTAGACACGATTTCTTTGAAAAGATCTTTGAATTATATAATTTTATTTTGATATTTTTTGGAAAATATTCGAAAGTTTCCGTATTATATTATCATTTATATTCTATCCATATATTTGCCCACATCATTACCCATTAAATAGCAGTTGTATTCATAGAGGATACTTTAGAAGAGTGTGCAATTCGAAGTGTTAAATTATCTAAATTTACCTTTCTTTTTTTTTTATTTATTCACGAGGTCAACGAAACTTTAATGTTTTGTTAAGTACCTGGAGATATTTTTAATGCAATGAAAAACCGTCGTGTGTTTTTTCCTATAAAAACATCAAATTCCATTAAATTTTTTAAAAAAATTAACCTGGCATTAACAAAAATTTCTTCTTTTTTTTTTCTACATTCAACTGGAACTAAATACATTCTTTTTTTTTTCTTTTTATTTTTAAAATCGCACTTATAATTTATTATTTTTTCAAATAAAATTTTTAGAATTTTAGTAAGATTCTACGTAAATTTATTTATTAATATCTTTAATTATTTTTTAAAATAATTATATATCTTTTTTTTTTAGATATCCAGTCATCGAACATACTCACATCTGGCCTCAGCTTCTATACCTCGTGAGAGCTTGAAAGAAGGAGAAAATGTTGAAAGCTCAGTACCGGCACCATTTATTGTTGGGTTCTATCGCCCCGATAATAGCCTAATGGCTTATAAAGGTCAAAGGTCAAAGCAGGTTAAAGTATGTGACGTGATACACATGTCTTCACTTTACATATTCGCACAATCTCCCATCAGAAAATTATATTTATATATCCTATATTAAAAAAAAAAAAATTGTTTTATGTATCTTAATTAATAAAGAAATAAATAAACTTTTCTTTTTTTCCTCTCGACTCATTGATTAATTTGTTATATAGCCTATTTTATTATATAGATCATTAAGTTTTTATTATAAAGGCTTATAATTTAACTTATTAATTAAATTTTTATATGTAAAATTAATTAAACTTTAAAATACAAGAATTAAGATGATTGTTTCTTTGATTTTTCGCATAAAATTTCTCTCTCCTTCAGTTGTCTCAATCCATCCAGAACGGAAATTCACCTTTACGATCTGATTCTTACATGAAAGAGTCATCAACATCAGCAGATCGGATGATTCACAATAATGTAAATTCCTATTCTACCAGACATTTACATGGTAAGTTTCATATTTTTTATTTATGAATTATTTCCATATACGAAAATATACAAGATTTTCTGTATAAGAATGCTTTTCTGTAACTAAATTAACGAGTTTATTTTAAATATTATCATTAATTTGCATAAAGAACATAGAATAAAGTAATAAAATACTGTTAAATGAGATAAAAGTAAATAGAAAAATTGTTAATAAAGTAATAAACATGGAGAAAATGATTATTAAAGGAGAGTAAAGAGAGAAGAAATAAGAAAGAAAAAAAAGAACTAATAATTTAACTATTAGTAAAGAGCATAGTTTGAATAGAAGTTTATTGTCTTTCTACTAAGAGACTTAAGTTAAAAAATTCCAATGATGATGACCTTTGACATTAGCTAACACATCGTGACAGTAAGGTGAACGTGTGGCTCACCCTTACTCAATAAATTGACAAAAGTGTTTTTCCTTGTATATGTAGCCATTAAGCCATCTGGGCCATCAAAGTTTCGAACATGTAGCAGAACCACTGAAGATATAAACAAGGTAATGTCTAATCATTTTGAAATCATAAAAATAACCTTATAATGCAAATATTTTTCATATAAAAATGAATTTAATAATAATAAAACAAATGATTATTTAGTGGTCTTACATATGTTTGCATTGTATAATAGTGTGCCATAACGTTATTTTGGAAGAAGTTTTATGCTTTTAGAATTGTTTACATCCTTGTTTTTACATTTATTTTTCTATTTATAATATTATAGGATGTGCATTCAACCATTCAACATTCTCCCGGTCCTGTATTATCACAAGCTTTGAAACTAGAAAAGTTTCGCACTCCAGATTTCGGCAATGTTCATTCAGTAACTAGGACACACGCGTGGGTTGAACAGCAGACAGTAAGAAGTAAACTTTATAAAAAAATAAAAACAAAGGAAAATTATCATGTTTTACTTTATTTTTTAACAACATATTTTAACAGATTTCAGAGAAAAGTAACGAACATGACTTGAAAAATATAGTTTCTGGTAATACAAATATTAAAATGGAATATAATAAAGTAAGGGATTTAATAAAATTTAAATAATTATTAAACACTTTAAATATCTTAATCCAAATCATTAATTTTTTTTGTTTTAAAGGTAAATACTATATCTAAACAGCCAGAGATAAACAGGAAAATACCTCATCAGGTAATAAAAACGAATACATTTACAAGTCAACCCCTCTATAATTCCGTTTTATATGAATTCCATGTTGTACGAGTCACTTAGATTTTACAAATACATGTACCGGGCTGTGAATGGCTCACGTATTTATAAAATCTAAGTGATTCGTACAACGTGGAATTCATATAAAACGGAATTATCAACAGTGTTATAGGAGGGTCGACTTGTATATTGTATAATTAATTTATTATTCTTTTACACAAAATATTTTTTGAATAATTACGTATAAAATAAATAGATTTATTTATTTTTTTTTTTCAGTTACACGAAAACCTGGATCATTCGAATACGTTACGCCACCGTCGTATAGAAAAGTGGGTGCAATTATTTAATTTTGTTATCAGATATTAATGTTTAATTTATATATATATATATTTTTAAAAATGCCATTGTTTTAATTGTTTTAAAGACAAAATCTCTGTGCTCATTTCTCACCGAAACGTGACGATGATAATGTCGAAAGTGAAAGCTTGAGGAATGCTTGTGCTAAGTGGTTTGCACGCGATGATGTGACTTCGATTCATCGACATATACCAAATAAGGTTAGCTTTGATTGTGTGTGTGACTTTATAACGTCACTGATCTTAATTATATTATAATTAAACGTGATGATACAGCAGGGTACTTACGTTGATCTATCGCTAAACATTAAATCAAGCGAAGAACCCGATAAAGTTGTACAAAAAGAAACTATTGGAAGAACTCATCAAGAAACTTCTAAGAGGAGACATTTAGATGAAGATGAGGATAAATCGAGCTCGGAATCTGGAAGAGGTACAATGCAAAGTGGAATGACAGGACCCAAACATCATCTAGATATTAGTCTCGATTCGGATCACAGTGTGGTTACTTGGATTAAAAAAGAATCCATTCCCTGTAACCAAACGTCTCAACTCGATTCGGTTCCTCACGATTCAACGCAATCTTCTTCGATGAAGTAAGTGAATTAATGAATTTTGAAAGAATAATTCGTCTTCTTAATGTATAATTTATAAATTAATTCATTTTTTTTTTAAGACCAAAAACTGTGTCGTCGCCTCAAGAATCTAGTAACAGCGAGAGGAAAGATCGGCAGAAATCTCAACCTGTTAGGAATAGATGTCAAACGGGTCTTAAAAGTACGATAACAAGAAATTCCCATCAAAATAAAATATTTTTAAGTATGTTTTTCAGTAATAATTAGTATTAAAAGCGGAAAATTTAAATGTAATTTAATATATATATAGGCCATGTATTAAGTCCGAATAATACTGTATTTTGTAGATGACACGGAATCTAATACAACAACAAGTATAGATTTAGAAAGTTTGACTTTAGAAGACGACGATGATGACGTTTCCGCTTCAAATTATCATGAAGATAATGAAATGTTTGTTATTAGACAACAGTTAGATGGACTCGAAACGATGTATTCTGAGGTATTAATTGTTCCAAACTATAATTTTCAACGTCGAGCATTGGTCATATTGTCTTTAAAATTCTTTTAGATACTTCGTTTACTCGGGGTGAAGAGTCGATGTTTAAAAATGGGAAGTAGGATATCATCCCGACCAGAACATCATCATCGAAGTGGACGTTCGAGGAAGATTTATGGAAGTTTATCATCATTAACAGGGAAGAGTTGTTCAACTCATAGAGAAAAGAGTCATTGCCACAATGAAAAACGTCGCTGTAAAGAAAGCAAAAATGGGTGAGTTAAAATATTCTATCTTAATTAAATCACAATACAAATTAATTTATAACATAAAACGAAAATTTTAGAAGTTCTAATCGCTGTATACAACGTTTGGAATGTCACGTTGTCAATCTGGCAAGAAACATCGCACGACTTTCGTCAGAAATAAGGTCACAGCAATATTTATCGAGGGAATTAGACGAATTAAGGAACGACGTGACATGGGTTCGCGATCAACTGAAACTAGTTCAGTCATCTACCTCAAAAAACTTTAAAGATTGGGACACGTTTCGGACTGAAGTTTTACAGATTTTAAATCCAGGAAGAATTAGGAAATTAACTAAGTATTTTTGCTTTTTATTTTATATTTTAAATACCTAAATTCATTTATAATTAAGTATTTATATATTTTATATGTTAACAAAACAAAATTTCATATTTTATTTGTAACATTGAAGTAAAAATAATTGGAATTCTGCACAGAAGAAATACAATAGATAGTTAATGTTGTGTTTTATTTTATGGCTTTTTCTTTGATCCTTTGTAACATTGTATCACTTAGTTTATGAACAATTCGAAAGATTCATTCGTAGCCATTAATGGCTTCCATAAAATTGCTACTAGTCATTTTCATTAATCCTTCTTTACAAGGAATGCCACAAACTCCTCAATAGAATTAAATCAGTGGAATTTCTACTCGTTAATTCATAAAAACTTTGCTTAGGAATCATTTATAACTTCTGTTATTGTGTAGTGTTATTATATAAGAAAATCTTACCTACAAAAACGCATTAATTTATTTTTACTAACTATTGTTTGAAATTTATATTAATTTCTTGATATATATATAAACTAAAGTCATGAACTAGAAATTATACCTTTTAAAATTGTTGCTTAATGGGTTTGTTACGAGAATGAAAAATGACTAAGTCTATAATTTAAAAACAAAAAAAAAAAAAAAATATGAGCCATTGATCTGCCCATTTCTAACGAATGAAGCTGTTGTCTGTTGTAAACATTTCATTTACATAAGTTAGTTGAAGTTTCTCCTTTAACTTAATGACTATTATCTTTGTGCAGTAACGCCTATCTTTTTGGTACTTGTAACCACACCCGTTAAAGCCTACCATTCATGTGCTAACTCTATGGGTGTGCGAAAAATGGTTGTTATTATTTAATATATTGTCTTTGATAATGGATGAAAATATAGTAGGACCCTACGACCTATAAATTCTTTCTATTTATAACTTTTTATATATTCCTATAAACTTTTAAGAACTATAAAAAACTATAAATTTGAAAAAGAAAGTTAATAAATAACTCGTAATATAATGCAGAAGTTGAAGATATTTACTTGAAAATTGGAATAAAAGTGATATTTTTAAAGCACTTTTACGCTATAATATCACATGATTGATTTAGTTTTGTTTTGTACCGTAATTAGTAATAAAAATTAATTCAAATGTATTGAAATTTGTGTGTATTAAGTGTGGAAAAAATAGCTTTTATTTTTTTAAGTCTGTTTTACAAAATTTTTAAAATATTTGCCAATTTAAATAGAAAAATGTACGATATTTACATAACAATTCAGTATAAAATTCATATTTAAAAAAAAAAATCCAGCAATGAGTTGCTTAACTTTTCCGGAAAGATTTAAAACTGCGTGTGGCGACATCTGTTATGTTATTTTATACTTAAAAAGCTTTATATTTTTTTAATTATTGTAAAATGGCAAAAAGCTTAATTTTCAGGATAGGGATGGGTTTTATAGGGGAGACCGGGGCAACTTCGGCATGCGGGGCAAGTTTGTCAAGCGCTTTTTTTTTTTAAAAAACAAATTAAAAGGAGACTTTGGTTATAGGTTAGGCAGTTGAGTTTTATTGATGGCTTGTTGAGTGTAGTGTTTTTATTGTTCTCCAACAAGCGTAGTTGAATTATCAAGCAAATTTTCATTTTCGTTCAATTCCATATAATATTTTTTTTTCCATTTATATTGAATTGGCAGGTTTTGTTATAATTCCATGATAACGAAAGTTACTTTTCCTGTTAGAAGGATGTAACTTCAACTTATTCACGTGGCCAGATCGTGGCTTGGCATTCTGTTCTCAGGGTTGTACTTAATGTTTCGAAATCATGACTAGCGGGGTAAGATCGGCAACATAAAGCCACATTAGAAGCAAAGGATAAAAATCAAACAGATGATAAATGAAAACATGTTTGCATTTGTTATTCATGTATATATGTCTTTGAACTTGCATTTCGTTGTAATAATATTAAATGGGTGTTGGATTTGTATTTCTTTGTTTTAATAGTGAATTCCAACTTATACATTGTTAATAACATAATTTTATATACCTGCCTATCTTGCACCATTACTGTTGCCCCTATACCAGGGGCAATTTTAATAAAAATAATTAAAATAATTACAACTTTACAAAAAGAGAGAAGTGCAATTTCTCTCTTCTTGTAAAGTTGTAATTATTTTAATTATTGTTATTTCCAAACTGATTTTAACCAGTTCTATAGTAAGAAAACATTCCAATAGACAATATGCAAAGCTTTTTTTTCAGTTTACAGCAGTATTTATTACACAAAATTTAAGTAAAGCTTAACATGCCGATCTTGCCCCGGTCTCCCCTATATATACAGTCGACTCCCCTATAACACTTTTGATTATTCCGTTTTATATGAATTCCATGTTGTATGAGTCACTTAATTTTACAAATACGTGAGCCGTTCACAGCCCGGTACACGTATTTGTAAAATCTAAGTGACTCGTACAACATGGAATTCATATAAAACAGAATAATCAACAGTGTTATAGGGGGTCGACTGTATATAAAAAAAGAATTGTAAATGCTAATAACGAGGAAAATCATTATGTCCGATCCCACTCGAGATATAAGACGTGATCAACACACTACATTTCTACCCCTCGATCTTTAACACTCAAAATTTTGTCGAAAATTCTGAAATTTTGCAGGGAGGTTTGTGTATTAAGGGGATTGATACTATTAAATTTTGGTGATTAGTGATCGAGAGAACGGGGAGATAAAGGGGGTCGCGTGTATCTCCAGTAGAGTCGGAGTTAATGATGATTTTACTCGTTATTAGCATTTGCAATTTTTTTATTGATATATAAAACTCATCCTTACCCTCAAAATTAAGCTTTTTGCTATTTTATAATAATTAAAAAAAATAAAATGTTTTTAATAAAATATCATAACAGATGGCGCCACCAAATGTTGCCGGAAAAGTTAAGCAACTTATTACTGAATTAGTGAAAAAAAAAATGCAATAACAAAGTTCTATTCTCACCATCTTGAAGAAAATGAGCTGTTTTAGAGTAATTTCTCGGCCGATTTCGATCGATAGCCCACCTCCATATTGTATAAATATTAAAAACAAAAGTAATAAAATAACAAAGAATAAACTGCTATATATAACATTCATTAACATGGTAATTTCGATTTTATAAACTATATAATGATGACAGTTTCTACTGTACTACATTCGAGTAGTTAAAATGATAAAACTAGATAGGTACTGTCGATTAGAATATAAGAATGTTTTTAATTAACGAATGACTTTATACCATTAAAAACGCCATTATTAAATTTTAAAGGCTATTTATACACAACAGTTACACTACATTTTTACGAAAACACCATTCAAACCGTAACGCTTGAAAGGTGGATGCATGAAAGATCCATGCATCCACCTTTCAAGCTGCCTCTGCCAGCTTGAAAGGTAGATGCATGGATCTTTCATGCTGTTTTCTCCTTATTCTCGCCTTACATTAGCGTAATATATCTGAAAACACAATTTATCGGATCTCATCACTCTTTTTCATTCATTTATTGTCCAATGCTTCTATTCCCGAAAGAACTGGAGGAGAAGAAACTCCTTCAGTTCTTTCGAGAACAGAAGCATTGGACAATAAATTGTTACATGCGTACAGCCCTTTTGCTAATACTTTCAATATCTTCTACCCATTATTTCTTGAGCATTGATCTTACTTACACAGATTCTTCCATCTTGCGTAAGCATTATATGCGACACTTAAATGGTCATAATAATCTGTCTACTTCGTGTTATATATATATAATTGACTTATACAGTCGACCCCCTATAACACTGTTAATAATTCCGTTTTATATGAATTCCATGTTGTACGAGTCACTCAGATTTTACAAATACGTGAGCCGTTCATAGCCCGGCATACGTATTTGTAAAATCTCAGTGACTCGTACAACATGGAATTCATATAAAACGGAATAATCAACAGTGTTATAGGAGGTCGACTGTATTGATGTAAATAGGATTAGGCGTATTTATTATAGATAATTATATTTACTAAACATTAAAAAATATATATATATAAAAGCCTTATAATTTTTTAGATTCTTCGGTGCCGAACCACCTCTACTTCGCCAGTTTTTGAAGAGATTAGGTTATGAAGTAAGTGATAAATTGAACAATATATATATATATACATATATTGTTAATATATTTCATGAAATTTACGAAAAATATTTTAAAATTTCATTATTTTTTTAAANAAAAAAAAAATGCAATAACAAAGTTCTATTCTCACCATCTTGAAGAAAATGAGCTGTTTTAGAGTAATTTCTCGGCCGATTTCGATCGATAGCCCACCTCCATATTGTATAAATATTAAAAACAAAAGTAATAAAATAACAAAGAATAAACTGCTATATATAACATTCATTAACATGGTAATTTCGATTTTATAAACTATATAATGATGACAGTTTCTACTGTACTACATTCGAGAAGTTAAAATGATAAAACTAGATAGGTACTGTCGATTAGAATATAAGAATGTTTTTAATTAACGAATGACTTTATACCATTAAAAACGCCATTATTAAATTTTAAAGGCTATTTATACACAACAGTTACACTACATTTTTACGAAAACACCATTCAAACCGTAACGCTTGAAAGGTGGATGCATGAAAGATCCATGCATCCACCTTTCAAGCTGCCTCTGTCAGCTTGAAAGGTAGATGCATGGATCTTTCATGCTGTTTTCGCCTTATTCTCGCCTTACATTAGCGTAATATATCTGAAAACACAATTTATCGGATCTCATCACTCTTTTTCATTCATTTATTGTCCAATGCTTCTATTCCCGAAAGAACTGGAGGAGAAGAAACTCCTTCAGTTCTTTCGAGAACAGAAGCATTGGACAATAAATTGTTACATGCGTACAGCCCTTTTGCTAATACTTTCAATATCTTCTACCCATTATTTCTTGAGCATTGATCTTACTTACACAGATTCTTCCATCTTGCGTAAGCATTATATGCGACACTTAAATGGTCATAATAATCTGTCTACTTCGTGTTTATATATATAATTGACGTATACTGTATTGATGTAAATAGGATTAGGTGTATTTATTATAGATAATTATATTTACTAAACATTAAAAAATATATATATAAAAGCCTTATAACTTTTTTAGATTCTTCGGTGCCGAACCACCTCTACTTCGCCAGTTTTTGAAGAGATTAGGTTATGAAGTAAGTGATAATTTGAACAATATATATATATATATATATATTTCATGAAATTTACGAAAAATATTTTAAAATTTCATTATTTTTTTAAAAGAAATACGCTCCGAATTTCGAAACGGAAAAAATCGGAATAATGGAACTCCCGTACCTGAACGAAGAAAAATTACAAAAATTAGGTATACCAATGGGTCCTCGAATTCGTATATTACAAGAAGCTCATTTTACATTTCATCAAAATGATTTAAAGATATACATTGTATAAAAAAAACATTTTTTTTTATATATTTTTTGCGTGTTCAATAGTCATAGACAAGCTCAAATATATACGATTGACACGCAAATATTTTGTATTTATCTTTAAAAAAAATTATTAATACTATAAAACATATTTTGTATATTATGTTTTATTTTTAAAATAATAAAAAAATCGAATATTTTTTTATTAATTATATTTTTGTTTATGTAATTTCTTTTATTATTTAAGTAAATAGCGTTTTTATAATACTATCTATACATGAATATTTTTTTTTATTAATTATACATTTAAATTTAAAAAAAATTAATAAAATAATATTTATTAATTTTACAACAGATTTTATGGAAATTACTTTTTAAAAATATACTTTTTTTTAATTTAAAAATTAAAATTCTAAGGATAAAAAAGGGTGTAAAAACAAAGGAAGTCGATAATTATCTTACTTCCCATCCGCATCATGTTTTATCTTTGATAAACAGACTTTTCTTTTTTCCCGGAAATTAAGATAAAAAAAATTCTTATTTTATATATAAAAAAAAAACCTTCAAAACTTTACTTTATAATTTATTAAATAATCGTCAACCATAAGAAGAATGTTGGTGAAGGTTTTTATTTCTATTTTAATTATGATAATAAGCGCCGATGGACGTGGTAAGTATTTTAGTCTTATATTTATTATTGTAGTTTAAATATATTTATTCTACTTTAAAATATTTTTATTTAGTACTAGATGGATGTAGAGAAGATGAAGTACATTCCTTTTGCGGTCCTTCTTGTCCTCCATCTTGTTTAAATGTTTTTAAGGAGGGTATTGTTTGCAGTACCGATTGTGTCGTTGGATGTTTCTGTAAAGCTGGATTAGTAAGAAATCGAGAAGGAAATTGTATCCCTGCCATAAATTGTTAACATTCTCCTTGAAGCAAAGATGAGTCTTCTTTTTTTTTTTTTTTTATTGTATCTTTTCACATGAAAATTAAAGCGAATTTTTCTTTATTCAGAATTGTTGTTAACATCATTTTCTTCATTTTTTAAAAATAATTCTCATTAAAAACATAAAAATTAAATTGTTTTTTCTTTTTAAATATTCATCTAGCTATACACCAACCAGGTGAAAATATCCCATTCCAATAAATGGGATCGCCATTTGGATCGTCTTTTGGATCATCTGCTTGAATCATTTCTCTACTATATTCTATTATTTTTTTCTTTAACAATTCGACTACTTTAGGTAAGGTTGCACCTAAATTATTCCTTTCTGTTGGATCCTCTGAAAACATATTTTATAATTAATTCAAATTATTTTCAATCGGATCGACGTTATAATTTATAATTGAATCACTCGCTTACCTTTAATATTAAACAATCTTATAGCTGATGCAATAGATTTTGTAGATAAATTACAAGTTTTAATATGCTCATTCTGTCTGGGAGGTGGTATCCATCCACTAGGATTCCCTGGATGTCCCCAAATTAATTTATAATCTCCAACTCTAAAAGTGTTTAAAATAGTAAAAAAAAAATAAAGAATTTTATGTGTTGAATTCTTAGATTTACCTGATAGCAGCACGTCGATGAGAATGATCGAATATGTTATATATAAATTCACTCCTGGCTGAAGGACCATCATTATTGATGACATCCCATTGATTAACTCCATCAATTTTATTATTCACTGAGCAAAAATAATACAAAAAATTAAAAAATAAAATATATTATGTTTAATTTTAATATTTTAATTGAGATTTATATAATTAAAAAAATAATAATAAATAATAGAACCTTTAGTAAAACCTGCCAAATGTAAGATTGTAGGATACCAATCTACAGCGTGTATAATTCTGGAAAATAAGACTTTTTTAAAGAAATATTTTTATTTTATATAAATAAAAGCTTTCATTATGATTAAAGGATATTTACTTTGTATTTACGTAACGTTTTTTTAGAAGATTAGGGCTATAAACGAAGGCAGGTCCACGAGTTCCTCCTTCCCACAAAGTACCTTTATTACCTCTCAAAGGCCAATTATTGCCTCCAGCTTTAGTTTGTCCTCCGTTCTAAATTGATTTTTTGATAATAAACACAATTGTTTTATGTATTTTTATGTATTTCAATCAAAAATCTTAAATAATCTCTTACATCAGTCGTAAAAATGATTACTGAATCGTTGAAAAATCCATATTTTTTTAGAGAAGTGATTATCTTTCCAACTGCATCATCCATTGCACTTACCATTCCTATTAAAACAACGATATATAATTTTTAAGATAACACAAGATATCAAAAGAAAGATATTAATTAAAATACAGAATGCTGTGAGGTGAAGTACCATTTACAGGCGCTTCTGACAATCATCTTGAAGAAAATGAGCTGTTTTAGAGTAATTTCTCGNAAGCCACGATAAGTTGGTGTATATGACCAATTACAATAACCCAGATGCCATCTAGAAGAATCATTTTAAGAATATATTATATTTTTTTATGATCTGGTAATAAAATAATTTCTAAAAACTAAAAAAATAAAAAAAACCAAGGGAAATTAATGATAATTTTTTGTTACTTTACAAAATAAAATAAAAACATTTATAGGACATGTTATTTTAATTAGTTTTCTACCCCAGGAGGTAAAATTTCACAATTCTCTTCTGTAACTATTTAACCACATGGGGATAATTTAATTTTAACTCAAATATTCTGGGATGAGAAGTAATGAACTTATATACAATCATTAAACTTCATGGTTATTATATCCTGAAAAAGTTTTATGATATTAAATCAATAAAATTAAATATAAAAATTAATCTTCTTTATAAATTTTTATTTCTTTCTCTCATAATTATAAAAGAAAAAAAAAACACTTACTTTCCAACTATATGTGTAGAATATCCCAAACTTTTCAATTTTTCAGGTAAAAGAGTAAAGTTAATGGATAATCCTGTTGGTTCTAAATAATCAATAACTGAATTCTAACAAAATAAAATAAATTAGTAATTTAATTATAAATTATTTACAGAAATAAATAAATTTATTTACTTGTCTTCCAACTTTAAAAGGATAATAACCAGACATAAAAGCAGTTCTTGATCTATTTAATTATTTAAAAATTTTATTTAATAATTAATACGTGTATAAAATAAATAAAATTTACTTTCAAATTGTTTAATGTTTTTATTAATTAAAAACATATTATTATTATTTTTTTAAATTGAATTTTTAAACATGAAAAAGTGATGAGGATGAGAAGATGCTCATTCTCATCCTTTTCATCATTTAATAAAGGAAAAAAAATTTTTAAGAGTTATTATAATATAAATTACGTTTTTTTTTATATATACGAATTAATTTTAATTTAAATATTTTTGTTGAATTTTGGCTATATTTGTGCATTTTACTCTAAAAATATTCACTCACGGAGTACAAACGGGTTGAACGTATGACTGATTAAGTATAACTCCTTCTCTTGCCAAATTTCCCAAATTTGGTGTTAGCATTTCCGGATTATGCCAGCTGACATCGTTCCAACCTAAAATTTTAATGTGCAGTATTTAAATTTAAAAATATAAATTATTAATAATAGTTAATGAACAATTAACACACCAGATGGCGACACGCTAAACTTACAATGCCATTTTTAAAAAAACGATTTAAAATGTTAAAAATACTTTAAAAAAATTTTATTAATAACATTTCGCTGAATTAATAAATTATTCCTTTATAAAATTAATTAAATTTAATTAATTTATTTCGTAAACTATTTTGTTTATCATTGACATCATTTTAATGTATAAAAATACGATTATTCTACGAAAATCGATAAAGAAAATAGATTTATCACAAATAATAATTTTTGTTTTTTATATTGAGAATGTATTAATTAAATAACTTACCGAGGTCATCGGCGACAATAAAAATTATATGTGGCTTAAAGGTTAATGATGCCGTAAGCGTCACAATTGTAAGCAATATTAAGAGCTTAAACATGGTTAAGAATTCATTGATAGTCGATACACTTCACTTCATTGGCATTCAAAGCAAAGAGATGCACTTCATTCTCCTTCGTCTGCAAACGTGACGTCACTTGCCGCTTTCCCGATAGTGGTCCTTATCGATAACACGATTCTTCTATATATAAGTATATACAGCATAAATGAAACCATTCAGGGAATGTTTTTAAACATTTAAAAAGAACTAATAAACAGCATAAATTAATAATTTTTAAAATTTAAAACAACCAATAAGCAACATCAATTAACAAATTTTAAAATTTAAAACAACCAATAAGCAACATCAATTAACTTTTAAAATTTAAAACAACCAATAAGCAACATCAATTAACAAATTTTAAAATTTAAAACAACCAATAAGGATAATCTACTGTAATTTTTAAAATTTAAAACAACCAATAAGCAACATCAATTAATTTTTAAAATTTAAAA